GACTGCTCTGATTGCCTGTGCGACTGTCTCCTTGCCTGACTGTAGCAATGGCAGCCACTCCGCTCCTCGAGACTGTTCCAGGGCTCCGATATGAGGAGATGACTGGAGACGAACTGGCGCAGCAAGTCGCAGACTTGATGGGAATGCCGGTTGAAGAAGTGAAGGAGAATGGAGTGCAATCCTCACTGGTTGCACTGCGCTTGGCTGGCAAAGTGCCTGAGGATCTCGAGGATTTGATCCGATTGGCGACTGGCGACTCTTTTGTTCGCCCGACTGCCTTCACCCGAGTGATCCCCGATCCGACTGCAGGCCGAGTGTTGTACGTGGATGTCCCACTGGAGGACCTGACTGGCCCCCAGCTCATTGACTCTGCAATGGGAATCAGGCCTGGGTCGAATGGGCCGACTGTTGCCACTGCCTCGGCTTCGGCAGCTGCACCTGCCGCGAATGCTGGGAGACCGGAAGATCCCTCGATTGAGACGACTCACCTGATGTGTGAGAAGGTGCAATCGCACCGATTGTCGAGGAATGGCACTGTGAACAACGAAGTGTATCAGGCCTTGGACTTGATGGACTGTGGCGTCGAATTGAAGAGCATCTGGCGACGACTGGATGACTACGTCACTATCGACTGCCAGGACGAGCTTGATAAGACTGAGAATATGGCGACCATGATGGCCAATCGAATGATGAATGCACAGATCAGACTGGCCGTGGCTGTGTACAAGAGAGAATGGAGCGAAGAGTGCCCCATCCTTTCCCTCCTCCTGCCTGGAACGAGAAGTGGAGGACTGTCCGGATGTTGATTTGACCACCCGGATGAGCACAGCAATGGCCCAATGTCCAGCCTGAGACTGCGAATGAACTCACTGGGAATCAGGACAACTGTTTCTAACAATGTGAACGAGTGCATGATGGAGACTGGCTGGTGGGCTATGACCAAGGCTGAGAGAATGTTTCTCACTAAAGGAAAGTGGGAGACCAAATGGCGCTTTGACCAGAATGCCAGGGAGAATGAGGTCGACGATTTGGTCCATGTCTATGACTGGATCCTACTGCCGACGAGCATTGGCGAGCGCTACTACGAGACTGGCGAGATTGACCTCAGCCGCTTCCCGTGCCACCAGTTGAATGGCAGCTTTTGCACGCTGACTGCAATGCGCAAGACTGTGCAATGGTTCTGCCAAGGAGTGTTCGATGAGAATGCCCCTTACGAGCGACTGGTGTTCATTGCGCTGGAGAAGCCACCCGCGAATGGACTGGAGTCACAACTGGCGCGAAGAAGCAAAAGCTGAACAACTACTTCAACCGCCAGTTCACTGACCACATCAGCACGCAGAATGGCTTCCTCGTGGAGACTGAGGGGAAGACTGTTCCAAGCCGCTGGGTTTGGAGTGTGCCGACTGAATCCTCCAAGCAAAGCATGGGCATCATCAGAATGTCCTACAATGATGCAATGAGCTACACCAAGAATGGTCCACAGCTCCTTTGCCTCTCAGAGATGGAGGACTGGACCGGAATGCCACCATCCCCCACGATCGAATGGCGGCTGATGGGACACACAATGGTCCCGACTGCCCAAGCCTACGGTTCCGGATTGGAGCATGATTGCTCTACCTGGGATGAAATGTATGGCGAGGATGATGGCGAGGACCCGAATGCCTGGAATGTCCCGACCTCATCGACTGCGGCATCCAAGACGAATGCGGGAATGACCTCGCATGGATCAGCACCCGCGACTGTCCTCTCGCAGGTCGCGAATGCACTGGTTCCTGGTGCAGAAGTGGTTCTTCGCATGAATGGGAATGCCAAGAACCCGGTCATGAATGTCAAGTCCAGCAAGAAGTGACTGGCACTGAGGGCAGCAATGTAAATTAGGGAGTGCTAAATCGACTGCCGCATGTTTTGGAAATGCAGGATCTTTG